ACAGAATGGATATAAATTCTTGGAAAATGTAAAAGGAGGATGACAAAGATGATCCATGTATCAGAAACCTTCCCTATGAGGATAGACTAAGGGCCCGGGAAACTGCACTCTCTAGAAAGACGTAGAATTAGGGGGGATATGTTTGAGGTGTAAAATGGAAGACAGGAATAAATAAAGGGATGTAAATAGTGTGCTGAAAATATCTACCCTAGACAGGACTCGCAGCAAGGGTTTTAAGTTGGAAAAATTGAATTCAGGAAGGATATGGGAAAGTACTGTTGGTAATAGATTTGTGGATGAGTGGAACAAACTCCCAAACCGTTATAGAGGCCAAAAACGTTGTGTAGCTTTAAAAATAGGTTGGATAAATACATGAGTAGATGTGGGTGGGTTGTGAGTTAGACCTGATAGCTTGTGCTAACAGGTCGGTTGCCGTGTTCCTCCGTAAGCCCAATGTGACCTGACCTGACTAGGTTGGGTGCATTGGCTTAAGCCGGTAGGAGACTTGGACCTGCCTCGCATGGGCCAGTAGGCCTTCTGCAGTGTTCCTTCGTTCTTATGTTCTTATGTTTTTAAATGTTGGGTAAGACACATATGCAACAGTTAGACAACTTTATTCCGAAACGTTTCGCCTACACAGTAGGCTTCTTCAGTCGAATACAGAAAGTAGGCAGGAACAGTAGAGATGTGAAGACGATGTAATCAGTCCATCACCCTTGAAGTCGTAGAATTTGAGGGACCTGACCTCCCAGCATCTGAGTTCTTACCTCTTCTAGTGACCTACGTCTCACTTCTTGGCGCTATGAGGAAATGGTATGGTGATACCGACAAGATGTGGAAAAAGACACTTATGTACAGTTCAGGACATTTATTAAAGGAAACGTTTCGCCACGAGTGGCTTCTTCAGTCCTAATACAGAGAAAACTAAGAAAACACACATATATATAGTGGTGGGAGTCAGGTGAGGTGAAGCGTGGGTAGAGGTGGTAATAGTAGTAGTAGTAGTAATTGAACTAAGGAGGTGAGGTTAGAGAGGGACCTGCTGGCATCAAGTAACACCAGTTCCCAGGATGGGTAATATCCTCTTGCTTAGTAATTTTGAAATACTGTAAATACTCAAGTATCTTCTGCTTCTATCAACTTTTCTGTACTCGACTGAAGAAGCCTACTGTGTAGGCGAAACGTTTCGAAATAAAGATACCTAACTGTTGCATATGTGTCTTACCTAACAAATACATGAGTAGATGTGGGTGGGTGTGAGTTAGACCTGATAGCTTGTGCTACCAGGTCGGTTGCCGTGTTCCTCCCTTAAGTCAATGTGACCTGACCTGACTAGTTGAAGATTGAGACACTTATGCAGCATATGGGAATCTTTATTCAGGAAACGTTTCGCCACACAGTGGCTTCATCAGTCCAATACAAAGAGGAAGGCGTAAGGAGAGGAGGAGTATGAGGTAATCAGTCCCGCAGCCTGGAGTCGATGTGTTCAGTCCATCAATCTTGTAGAATGTACAGCATAGGGCCGTAGACGTGGCTTATATACTGTAGTGAGGTGAGGTGGATGGTACCACTATGACCCCGCCTCCGCCTGCTTCAGCTCACCTCACTACAGTATATAAGCCACGTCTACGGCCCTATGATGTTACATTCTACAAGATTGATGGACTGAACACAGACTCCAAGGGTGAGGGACGATTACCTCATACTCCTCCTCTCCTTACGCCTTCCTCTTTGTATTGGACTGATGAAGCCACTGTGTGGCGAAACGTTTCCTGAATAAAGATTCCCATATGCTGCATAAGTGTCTCAACAAGTGCAACTCTTGGGTATCTTTATTGAGGAAACGTTTCGCCACACAGTGGCTTCATCAGTCCATACAAAAGGGGAATCTTGAAGAAACAGGAGGGGAATGAGGTAATCAGTCCCTCAACCTTGAGTCGATGTGGTCAGTCCATCAATCTTGAATAGAATACGGCATACGTGCTGAGGAGCTTATAAACCGTTGGCAGGAGAGGTGCAGCAGTCATAGGTGGTGTAACATTTGTTCAATGTTGAAGTAGGTCGTGCCCAAGAATTAGGCAAGCAAAGAATTCCCAAGTATTAAGATCCCAAGAAGTTGCAGTGTCTGACAGGTTTGTAGATGAATGGTTCAGAGAACCGACATGCAACTTCTTGGGATCTTAATACTTGGGAATTCTTCGCTTGCCTAATTCTTGGGCACGACCGGTGGTCTGGTGGCTAAAGCTCCCGCTTCACACACGGAGGGCCTGGGTTCGATTCCCGGCGGGTGGAAATTCCGACACGTTTCCTTACACCTATTGTCCTGTTCACCTAGCAGCAAATAGGTACCTGGGTGTTAGTCGACTGGTGTGGGTCGCATCCTGGGGGACAAGATTAAGGACCCCAATGGAAATAAGTTAGTCCTCGATGACGCACTGACTTTCTTGGGTTATCCTGGGTGGCTAACCCTCCGGGGTTAAAAATCCGAACGAAATCTTATCTTATAAGCCACAGTGCCGTGTCTTCCTTTGCAGATGACTCCTGAATCTGCATAACACTGTCCTCCATTGAAGACACTGCAAGGCTCCAGGTGGATATCAACCAAATCATTAAATGGGCTGCAGAAAACAATATGAAGTTTAACGATTAGAAATTTCAATTACTACGATATGGTAAACGTGAGGAAATTAAAATTTCATCGGAGTATAAAACAAATTCCAACCACACAATAGAGCGAAAAACTAACGTCAAAGACTTGGGAGTGATCATGTCCGAAGATCTCACCATCAAGGACCATAACACTATCAATAAGTGTGAGGGGCCCAAGACTATTCAACTGCCTTCCAGCATGCATAAGGGGAATACCAATAGACCCCTAGCTGTCTTCAAGCAGGCCTTGGACAGGCACCTAAAGTCGGTACCTGACCAACCGGGCTGTGGTTCGTACGTTGGTTTGCGTGCGGCCAGCAGTAACAGCCTGCTTGATCAGGCCCTGATCCACCATGAGGCCTAGTCACAGACCGGGCCGCGGGGGCACTGATACTATGGAAATAAATGGTATAAAATACCGACACAATGGCAATATAAACACAAATGCAGTATAATGTGCAGTATAACGTAGTTCTGTTTGTGACTTGAAAAAGCCCACTGTGTGGGCGAAACGTAGTCAATAAAGGATCACATTATACTGCATTTGTGTTTATATTGGCACTGATACTATATCCAAACTGATCATCAACAGGATATTGTCGGTATTGTATATCTGTCTTGCACAGGATATTGCTAATTTTCGAGTGTTGAAACCCTATTACTACTACTACTACTACTAGTAAGTAAGTTTATTCAGGTATACACAAATACAGTTACATAGAATTATGGAAATATAAACACATATGCCGTATAATGTGATCCTTTATTGACAACGTTTCACCCACACAGTGGGCTTTTTCAAGTCACACACAGTGTGGGTGAAACGTTGTCATAAAGGATGACATTATACTGCATATGTGTTTATATTTCCATTGTGTCGGTATTTTATACCATTTATTTACATAGAATTATCATACATAGCAGCATATGTGTAGAGAACCTAGGATAACCCAAAAAAGTCAGACTACTACTACTACTACTACTACTACTACTACTACTACTACTACTACTACTACTACTACTACTACTACCATCCTCTCGCGGCCTGCCAATATATTAGCCATTCGTTGCGAAACGTTTCCTTTAATTGTCATAAACTGTACATTTGGTATAAGAGTTAAAAATTGTTTGATTTCATTGGGTTATCCTAGATTAAATCTACATAAGTTATCACATATGTATGTATGCAGCCTTAACGTGTTTTCAAGATCATTATACGGATTTATAACACTGTGAAATCGTTTGTAGAGTTCCTTAATAAAGCCAGCCCATCTTATCGTACCTGAGGCGCGGGTGCCAAGCTCTATTTGGCGGGGATTTTCCACTCCTTTCTCGGTGCTACATCGAAAGACTCCTAAAACTGCCAAAACAACAGGTGGTTTTTTAACATTAAATTAATTCTGTTTGAGGAACAAAATTAAATTAATCCTTGGAAATAAGCAACTATGTTATCTTGTTTTTCCACTACACTATTTAATGGTCCCAAGTCGGACCGAAACGTCGTCATAAATTTCAGTCTCCTATGGAGGGGTTATTTATGTAATGTTCCTCGTTTGTTAACCATTACATAAATATATTTAACGTGTGAAAGAAGTTAGCAAAATAATGAGTAATGAGTTATGCAATGTGATAAAGATTATCTTTAGGTAAGGTACTGAAGCAAATTCTTTGATGGCTCTGGTAAAAGGCAGTAGGCCTGCTGCAGTGTTCCTCCATTTTTATGTTCTTATTATATAATTAATGTAATAATGTTGGTAGAATTACCGACAATATGTAAAGTAAAAGGACACAAGTGCAACTAATGTGACATTTTATTGTGGCAACGTTTCGCTCTCCAGGAGTTTTGTCAAGCCGTAACGGCTTGACAAAGCTCCTGGAGAGCGAAATGTTCCCACAATAAAATGTCACATTAGTTGCAATTGTTTCATTTTACTTTAAATATAATTAATATAGAAATAGCTGACATTATAACATACTTTATACAAGGCTCCTGGTTATATACACAAATAACTCGCACATAAAAGAGAGAAGCCTACGACGACGTTTCGGTCCGACTTGGACCATTGACAATCTCTGATATTAAGTGCAACAATCTGGATTATTTTTGTAAGGCAGTTTATAACAATGTACCTGTATAGCACAATAATTCATATTCCAACTGTTACTGAAGTACGCATTGTATGTGGCCAATAATTGAATGATTGACAATGTGGACAAAGATTCGCCTTTAGGTAGGAAATTTCGATAAGTCATACGGACCTCCATATAGGTTACCAGGTACGAATGACGTAATGAATGTGGCAACATTGTTGGAACACAGCGGCAGCAGCTGCGCAGATGACGTGCTCAGTAGTGCACCACTGAGCTGTCAGACATCCGTGCCAGCTGAGAGTATACGGATGTATCCTTGGGGTCCCAAGTTAGTTCTGTACTTGTGCAAGCATCGCAAGCATCCCAGCTCCGTGTATCCACCATGAGGATCTACAGGGTGTTATACCGCCAAGCTCGGGCTCTCATGGAACAGAGACTCGATTATTACTCTCAATTTAACCCATCTCCCTTGTCCATGCAACAATTTACGGATTTTGGTGAGTAAAATTATTTTTTTTTAATCTTGTATTAATGTTGGTAGAATTACTGACAATATTTTAGGTAAAGGGACATAGGTGCATCTAATGTGACATTTTATTGTGGCAACGTTTCGCTATCCAGGAGTGGAGAGAAACGTTGCCACAGTCAAATGTCACATTAGTTGCACCTGTGTCCTTTTACCTAACACTATAAATCCTGTTTTAAAGTTTCGAGACACACGAAACTCGACATTGTTTCACAAGGAAAGTTTTAAGTTAGAGCAGGTTTCCCGTGAGCGTCGCGCAGATCATCACGTAGGCCACACTACTTTTCTCAGAATGACATTACATTCCCATGACTTTTTTTCCCCTGCATGTTCTTGAAGGCCCTTATCTTATCTTATTTTCTTACATGAACGATAACTCGCATTCTGTTGATCATCAAACAACGAACTTTAGTCATGATAAATGTATTCATTATAACGGGGCCGTAGTACGCGTGTTTTTTTTTAATTTCATTATTTTGATTAGTATTAATCGATAAAATGTGTTTTGTGTTTAACTTTGTCCTGTCCTGTAGGCATATTGTTTGTCGGCAAAATAATGGAGGTGCTTTCGATAACAAAAATTTGTTACGTGCCTCGAAGACCCTACACATTTAAACTGATAGAATAAGTAAAATCTTTGTCAATTTGTAAATTAATTTCTCTAAATTAATCGAATAATGCAAACTTGAGCATTAATACGAGGTTGCGGTACTTAAAAATGAGACTTTCTTTGTTAGAAAGCCAGTACTGTACCTAATTCGGACCCAACGGACTCTTTAACGTGACTGGTTACGTAACCGTTAAGACACCGCTGTTAGTTTAATAGTTTTATTTCCTTAAATATGATGTGTTAAAATAGCACTGCTAGTACTGCTGATTTAATTATGAAATGTGTTAAAACACGGATAATAAATAAGTAAATGATTTTATTTTCTCCACCTTTGGCACCTGGGCAGGACCTCTCTCCCCATTGCAGAATTTATCTAAAAGTTCACTCTGTCGCATTGGTCGAATTTAATATAATTGATTGGAGTGCTCGAAGCCTTTAGTTATTTAATTTCTTCATGCTGTGCTCATTAAATGTTTTCCAAATGTTTAAGCCACTTTGTCGGTATCGATTATCAACGTTAAAGCCAATGTGTCGGTATTTTATACCATTTATTTCCACCGTTAAAGCCAATACAGAACTGTTTTCTAGATGAATATTGTAGATGAATGGTTAAAAGAACCGACACGTTAGACACATGTGCAACTCTTGGGTATCTTTATTGAGGAAACGTTTCAATCACACAGTGGCTTGTAAAGTAAAAGGACACAAGTGCAACTAATGTGACATTTATTGTGGCAACGTTTCGTTCTCCAGGAGCTTTATCAAGCCTTGATCAATGTCACATAAAGATACCCAAGAGTAGCAAATGTCACATTAGTTGCACTTGTGTGCTTTTACTTTACATATTGTCGGTAATTCTACCAACTTTATTACACACTGGCTTCATCAGTCCATACATAGAAGAAACTTGAAGAACAGGAGGAGAATGAGGTAATCAGTCCTTCAACCTTGAGTCGATGTGGTCAGTCCATCAAGTCAAGATTGGTAGGTAAGACACATAGGCAACAGTTAGGCAACTTTATTCCGAAACGTTTCGCCTACACAGTAGGCTTCTTCAGTCGAATACAGAAAGTAGGCAGGAACAGTAGAGATGTGAAGACGATGTAATCAGTCCATCACCCATAGTATGAAACAATATGTTTCATACTATGGAACAATGCTCTTCTCCAGACTGAGGGACTGACCACCTCAAAACTTTAAGGGTGATGGACTGATTACATCGTCTTCACATCTCTACTGTTCCTGCCTACTTTCTGTATTCGACTGAAGAAGCCTACTGTGTAGGCGAAACGTTTCGAAATAAAGATGCCTAACTGTTGCATATGTGTCTTAATTTATATCGCCTTTGTTTATACATATCGTCCACTTGTATAACTCGCCGATATCTCTCATTTTAAATCTTTCAAGATAGTGAGGGTTCATGGTTCAATCTCTTCTCGTATGAGATTCCTTATAAAGTGAAAGATTACTTGTACGGATCAAAGTTCAAGTAACTTAGTAGGTAAAACACGTGCAACTAATGTGACATTTTATTGCGGCAACGTTTCGCACTGCAGGAGCTTTGTCAGTACATTCATTGGAATCTTTGCCCAACACAGAAGTAGACTTAAAACAATATTCTGAATACTTGAAATAATTATTGAAGGTCATCATTTAGTTTAGGCCTGGGTGTGTAGTTTTTTACTATGCAGATTGTGAAAAAAAGACGTGTACAATTCAGGAGATTTATTAAAGGAAACTTTTCGCCACGAATGACTTCAGTCCTAATACAGAGATAACTACGAAAGTATTAATGTTTGTAGAATTACCGACAATGTTAGGTAAAAGGACACAAGTGCAACTAATGTGATATTTTATTGTAGCAACGTTTTTTCTCTCCGGAGCGAAAAGATGCCACAATAAAATGTCACATTTGTGTCCTTTTACCGAACATAACTAAAACGAGTATATATATATATATTTATATATTTATATATATTTATATATAGGCAGGAGTCAGGTGGAAGGTCGCGTGAGTAGTAGACTCCTGCCAACTACATATACTCGTCTTAATTATCTATATATTAGATGTATTGTAGATGAATGGTTCACAGAACCGACACGTTGATAAATTACACATGTGCAACTCTTGGGTATCTTTATTGAGGAAACGTTTCGCCACAGTGGCTTCATCAGTCCATACAAAGGGAGAATCATGAACAGGAGGAGAATGGGGTAATCAGTCCCTCAACCTTGAGTAGATGTGGTCGGTCCACCAATCTTGAATGGAATACGGCATAAGTGCGGAGGAGCTTATAAACCGTAGGCAGGAGAGGTGCAGCAGTCATAGGTGGTGTCACATTTGAGCACGACCTACTTCCACATTGAACAAATGTGACACCACCTATGACTGCTGCACCTCTCCTGCCTACGGTTTATAAGCTCCTTCTCCGCACTTGTGCCGTATTCTATTCAAGATTGATGGACTGACCACATCGACTAAATGCTGAGGGACTGATTACCCCATTCTCCTCCTGTTATTCATGATTCTCCTTTGTATAGACTGATGAAGCCACTGAAGAGTTGCACGTGTCTAATTTATCATATTAGATGTATGTAGATTCTCCGGTATTAAACCCGAGCGCATTCTCCATCCAGTGTTAAGTGTTGTGGAATGGAGATATTTATATTTTGTGCCTAATGTTACCAGACCTAATCAGAATTTTAAGACTGGTGAAGACTGGGTTTGGTTGAGTTGCGTTGGTTTACGTTATTAAATTAATATAAAAATAAAGCTTTACTGTTTGTCCAAAATGTCTCCTTTGTACAACCCATTTAATAAATAAAAAAAAAGTTAAATTCTTATTTTTCGTATTATCACGTAAAAAAAATGGATGACATTGTTTGTCCCATGGAAAAAAAAACCGAATTAAGTTAATAATTGTAATAGTTGCAGTGGCAACAAGAAAGTAGTTTGCCATATTTTACTCTTATTCCGTCAGTTTCTTGTATTCAAATATGCAATGATGTTGCATTCAGCTCACAGTCGAATTACCCGGGTTTAATCCGTGTAATATTTGGAAATGACCTTGTCGAGATTATCCGTGACGTAACTTCTCTATCGTTTGTATTAGTTATCGAGGTTAGACTAAGTCCGGATTGTCAAGGATCCCTCAATTGGAAATTTAGGTGGAACGGATCGTTGTGATTTAGTTAAGGTGCTGCCAGGAGACTGGGACACCAACCGCGAGCATCGTACCTCTTAAGTGCTAATGACCCTGGTTAAGATAAGATAAGATAATATTTCGTTCGGATTTTTAACCCCGGAGGGTTAGCCACCCAGGATAACCCAAGAAAGTCAGTGCGTCATCGAGGACTAACTTATTTCCATTGGGGTCCTTAATCTTGTCCCCCAGGATGCGACCCACACCAGTCGACTAACACCCAGGTACCTATTTGCTGCTAGATGAACAGGACAACAGGTGTAAGGAAACGTGTCGAAATGTTTCCACCCGCCGGGAATCGAACCCGGGACCTCCGTGTGTGAAGCGGGAGCTTTAGCCACCAGGCCACCCCTGATCCACCACGAGGCCTGGTCTCAGACCTGGCCGCGGGGGCGTTGACTAAAGAGACCCTCTCCAGGCATACTTCAGTGCAGTAGCAGAGGTAATATATAACACTCGAGAATCATTCGTATTCAGCAGTGTCAAACACAGTAACTTGTATGTATCCTTAGTCTAATGAATACGATGAAGCAAAGAACAAATTGTTAGATTTAAATGAATAAGAAACATTTGCATCGCTGAGGCATCTTTATTGCCGAAACTCTTCGTTTGATGTGTCCGGTTTGTCTCGTCTGTATTCAAGTGAAGAAGGCTGCTCCATCCGAAACGTTTGGGCAATGAAGATACCCAAGTGTTACGCATATCTTCTTCATCTACTTGTCTGTTTTTCGCACCATTAATAAGATAATCATTGGATGTAATTGTTTTAAATATTTAAATTTAAATTCTGTTAGAGGTTGCGGTGAAGGACGAGTACATAATACAGCTTGTATAGATCATGGATGAATGTACCTGGCAACATGCCCATTTGGCAGCAAGTTTTTTGCAAAGTTGCAGACCGCAGGTGGTGGTTGACTTAAAGGAGTAAGGTGGGTGTCACATGATTGTCCTTACACACAGGATAAAATAAAATTATTCCAGTTTGTAGTGGGATTAAAATTAAGTAAATACTGTTTCGATAATGCACATAACACGGTAATCGTAAATCTGGAAGAATATGTGTATGTTGTGAATAGTTGTGCGTGTTGTATTTGTATGCATGGTTTTAGCCTAATCTTTCCATGAATATAATCACAATATACTAATTTGCAATGTCAT